CTGCTCCCCACTCTGTCTCTGGTGAACCCTCTCACTGTCCCTGCACCTCTGGCCTGTACCCCATCACTGTGTGCATAAATACATAAATCTTTAAGAAAAATTCATTGGTATATATTTCTAGAAGTCTGTGTGACTTCCAAAAACAAATGAGTAAGAACTTTTATATTAATAAAAGTGCTTCCTAATCATGATTACAATAAATAACACATTTCCAAAGTCTACTTGTAGAATCTAGTATCCTACGCTCTTAAGAATTTGTATGTGGTTATAAAACAGAGAATTGCAAAAGTGAGATCTGCTTTTGCTTTTGTATTTAAGTCTTCTTGCATAAGATAAATACAACTTGGTATCTACAAAACAGCCAAGATAACGCGAAGTTAACTGGAGCAATTACTGAGTTCCTGCTCCACGCAAAGACCTGAAGGAAGTACAGATTGAAAGGTGTACAGGCCTCTCCACAAACACGGTAACCTAAAGAGAATCACCATTAGGCACAGGCTGGCGCTGCCCTTCTCTGAACAAATGAGCAAGCCATACAACTTCTCTGTCCATTAATCAAAGTGTTCTCTCCTTAAGACAAAGACACATGCTATCTCTGGGGGAGCATGACGTCCCGTGCAACTGGGGCAATTCTTCTACTTTTCCAAATGAAGCTTCAACTTAGCACTTAACCCAAACCAGACAGTCAAGGAAAACACCAGACTAGACACTTAAAACCAGAGCGAAATACATGAGTCTCACTGCAGGAGACAAGCCTTCCAGTGCGCATGTAGTTATTTGTTCCAGCATCACCTCCGGCCCAGAAGCAGCAGGGCCAACCCAGTAGTTTCTGTGACACAACAGTTGTTCTAAGAACACCTGACAACCTCAGATGAATTCCTCCTGTGGAGAATGTTAGTCTGCCTCTTTGGAGAGAGACTGAAACTGTGCATCAGTCAGTATTTAGAAAGAGCGTTGGGGTGGGGGCAAGGGAGGTGGGTGGCCTGTGGCAAAGGCCTGTGGGAGCCTCGCGGCCGGGGGTGGGGCGGTGATCACACTGGAGGAGGTGTGAACCTAACCCCTAAATCAAACTTCTCGCAATAAAGCAACTGAGGAACGAGAGACCAGCAAGCACACGCAAGCTTCCGGTGTTTCAGGTGCTTACGGCGGGCTTCTGTTGGAGGCGAATATTTAGAAATGTGCTTAGAAAAATCTACCAGCACTGGAATAAGTCGACAGTTCCCAAGCCGCCTTGCCACTGAGAAAAACTTCAAGGTCATCAATCATTACTGATCATGTAGAATCTGTCTTCTACTCCTACTACTTACTACTCATAGACATTTTTGAACATTGGTGCTACTGTCTCTATCAAAAAAAGGTGGAAGATTCAGCTAATGGGATATTCAGTATAATTCCGCAGACGGAAGCAGCTCACTCTGCAGAGTGCTCAAATCCTAGGTATCAATAGCATAACCTTAGCACCCTCCCGGGTCCCCCAACCCCCACCCATCTCAGCTCTTCACTAGGCACATTCAGATCTGCAGTGAAGCACACAGCACTGCCTGGGTACCGTTGTTTCCGAGGTAGAGAGAGAGCTGGTGTCTTGGTCCTGAGTAGACGTCGTGGAAGCGGCCCTCCAGAGCCTGAAAGCGTCCTCCAGACCTGCCACGACAGGAAAGTGCGTGAGTGGCTTCCTGGCGCGCTGCGCAGGGAGAGCACTCACCACAGCGGCTGCCAGGCGCCGAGGAGCCTGCCCTGTCTGTGTTATTCTTAATTAACTGATGCATGTGAAACCTGAATTCAGAAATAAGTGCCGCATAAATATATAAACCACTTCACTTTGCTTTCACTTGACCGGGCACAATTCAGCCAGAGCAGTGGCCAACTCTCAGGAGCTCAAACATCGTAAAACGCCTGCAAGGCAGCTTCCAGCCCCCACCGCAGAGGCTGCTCCCCCGGGGGTCAGTGCCCCGCGGGACCCACCAGCTCGGGCCCACAGCGCCGATCCAGGGAGGCCACTGTCCTAACGGGCTGTTAAACGACTGCATCCAACGTCACTTTTCTCCTAATTCTGGCAAGAAGTGAACAGAGAAGCAAACAAGAATTCACACTTATGTCTGTTGTGTGAAGTTCACAGGTGAACTTCCTATCTCGCTCAGAAATAAGTAACGTTGGCCCTCCCTGGTGGCGCAGCGGGTTAAAGTGCAGCGGGTTAAAGCCACTTCCGCATGAGCTCGATTCACACCTGCCCCGGAGGTGACCACAGGGTGCGGCAGACCTCTCCTGACCCGCCCGCTGCTCCCCTCAGCAGTGTACTTCGTCAGTCTGCCTGTTCTGCTCCCCACTCTGTCTCTGGTGAATCCTCTCACCGCCCCTGAGCCTCTGGCCTGTACCCCAGTTCTGTATGCACAAATAAATAAATCTTTAAAAAAAAGAAAGAAAGAAGTAACGTGCATGTGTGTAACGTGTGTGTGCCTCCACGCACACACGCACATGGACGTCCACCACCTGACTGAGACAGGGCCGTCCGTGCACGTGGCACAGCGGGTCGCAGCCCGACACCTGCGAGTCCGTGTGGATCCTCATGCCTCTTCTGCGTGAAACTGGCCTTGCCTTTAACACGCATTTCCACAACTCAGACTTTTAAAAGTTAATTTTAGAATACATTTGTAATATGACTCTTTGTTATTGCAAGTTATATAATTCAGTCCCTGCTTAGATGTATTAAAATTTTATGAAACCCAAGAAAATCTATAAAGAGGAGTAAAAAGATACCAGCAACAGGGTTTGATAATATCTTACAATATCAGCACTCCTGATGTCCTAATATCCTACCGACACTTTTTCAACACATTCACAGAACAAATCAGAAAACCGAGTGAGAAAAGATCTCATTCTTGATGGTCTAGGAAGAACTTTCCAAAAGGTATATGACATTGAGAGGAAAAAACTCTGTTCACTTCACTGAAGGGCAGGAAACAACTTATGAAACATTAATAAGGTGTCACAAATGGTTCCCATGAAGAATTTATAACCCAGAAAAATGCTTAGGCAATGGTTAGTGAAAGAAGGCAGCACAAAATGTACATAAGCTATAAACACAATTACGTAAAACAAATAAAGGCTTTAGGAGAACGAAGACTGGAGGCTGGAGGCAGAGTGCCCACCTGGGAGAGGATCCCCAACCCTGAGCGTTTCTCTCTGGACTTATCACTCTGTTTCAAATACTTTGCAACAAACACAGGCTTGAAAGGTTTAAAAATGCAACCTACTGTAAAAATATAAATGTAAGTATATTGTACTTACCACTGATATCGCTGCTTTCTGAAGGCCCATCCAGGGCAGAATTCCAGTCCAACACGTACCGCCCCAGGTAGCAATGTTTAATCATCTGACTCAAATGATCATAAAAACGGCAGTGATGTAACAGGGCCTGGAGAGCGGGCTTCCCGATGAGCGACAGCCCTGAGTCCTCGTCATGCACACAGGGGCCCTGAGGGGAAAGGAGAGGAATAACACTCATTCTGGACATCATTTTTTTTTTTAATAGATGGATTTGTTTTTGTTTTTGTTTTTAAGATTTATTTGTTTATTTATGCATATAGAAATGGGGTGCAGGCCGGAAGTGCAGGGGAGGTGAGAGGCTTCACCAGAGACAGAGTGGAGAGCAGAACAGGCCAACTGACGAAGCACACTGCTGAGGGGAGCAGCGGGCGGGCCAGGAGAGGTCTGCTGCGTCATGTGGGTCACCTCCGGCCACAGGGATCGAACTCGCACTCAAGAAGCTGTAGCCCGCTCGTAGTGCTGCATCCTAACCCGTTGTGCCACCAGGGAGGGCCCCCAGACATCATTTTTAAAAAGGACTCACCCATGCCTTCCAAATTCCCGCTCAATGAAACAAACAAAGGGTTCCTGGGTGCAGGGCAAAGTATTTCAAAGCACTGTAGGTCTCTGCAGCCTACAATCCCCTGCAGCCAGAAGCCGGGTCTGGTCTCCCCTGAGGGGACTCTTAGTTTCAAATGTCATATGAAATGGTACATACACTTGAGTCACAAGACCAACACAAAGTTATTTTTCAACCTACACTGAGTGAAATGTCTTAAAACACCTAAAATAACGTGGTCCAATAATTATGTGCAAAAGTATTTCCTGCACTTATCAACAAGCCAGACACAATGAAAAGGCTGCTCGACATCCATGGTAACATCTGGCTACGCTGCCTCCCACGGAGCCAGCCCTGGGCTGGGGGAAGCACGCACACATGCGCCGAGCATGCACGCACTGGCCCACCGTGTGCACACAGCTAGGAGGCCTCATGAGGGGCACCTGCCGCCACACGACTTGAACCTCTTGGTGCCTTTTGCCCAAGCAGTTTTCCACACGCTTTTCTTTCCAGTTGCAAAAGTCAAGCAGTTAGCAGTGGTTTTAAAGCTTGCAAACCACCCCATCATTAGTTTATAAATACTTTTAATTTCCAGAAAGGGATGGTCAATACATTTTAAAACAGCCCACAACCGAGAGAAAATCAAAAGACCGAAAACAGACACCTAAGGGCCCGCACAAACACACAAAGATAAGGCCACGACAGAGCCAGCGTTTACTCCCCGCTGTGAGAACCATGAAAGTGAGCCGTCCCCACCTTTCCCCTCAGCAAGGAGGTTGGAGTTCACTGTCCGAGAAGATAAGGCGATTCGCGAGTTGAAGGTATAATAATAAGTTATGTTATTGGCGTAACATAAGTAATGAACTTCCATTAATCCTCCTTTTTAAGGCTATTACCTTTATACTGAAAACTGGTCATGAATTGGTTACTCTGGTATTCTAATAAACCTACCCAACACGGAGCTTGATCTTCGTAAACAGAGCACACTGCGAAGTTACTGAGAAACGGCGCTGCCTGGTGAGCAGCCAGCACGCAGAAGTCACTGCTGCCTCCTGAAGTCCAGAGGTGCAGGGGAAGCAGAGAAACAGCACAATCAGCCCCAGCTCCCGCTCACCAGCGCGGCCGACGGCCCAAGCAGCGAGCCTGTCACACAGGACCTGGCTGAAGCGTCTCAGGACCGAACAATCCATCCTGAACCATATCCTAACCTTCGGAGCTTCAAACATTCTATGTTTCGTGCAACTTTAAAACTCTTAAGTGCAGGGAACAAGCCAGACATGACAGAGAAGCACAGCAGCTGTGTTACATCACGAACTAAGGCCCTCCCTCATTATAATAATTCTGGTAATTAATTATCAACAAGATCAGATTCAGCTAAGTATACTAGCTTAACTCCAACTGCCCAACAGAAGACAAATAAATCAGTAAAATAAAGTGAAGCAAAACAGCAGCACTATTTTTCTAAATGCATTCCATATTGATGCCCAGAACAACTTTGGGATATTTTATTAGAAGCCTTGGAAGAGACCCCTGGTAGCAGGCCTCCAAAATCAACGTAAAAAGTGTTCCATTCCTGTATGCAAATGAACTAGAAGAAAAAGAAATCAAGAAAACGATTCTATTTACAGTTGCATTTAAAAAGTAACAAATACCAGGCCCTCCCTGGTGGTGCAGCGGGTTAAAGCACAACACTGAGAAACGAAAGCCACTTTCCCATGAGTTCGATCCCCGCCTGCCCCGGAGGGGACCCCAGGGCGCGGCAGACCTCTCCTGACCGCCCGCTGCTCCCCTCAGCAGTGTACTTCGTCCATCTGCCTGTTCTGCTCCCCACTCTGTCTCTGGTGAAGCCTCTCGCCGCCCCTGAGCCTCTGGCCTGTACCCCATTTGTTCTATATGAACAAATAAATAAATCTTTAAAAAAAATAAAGTAACAATTACCTGGGAATAAACTCAAAGTGAAAATGAAACTACATGAACTCAATGAAAACTGAAAGGCATTGATAAAAGAAACAGGAGACGCTGGAAGTGGAGAAACCTTCTATGCGCGTAGGTTGGAAGACTTAATATTATAAAAATGTGCATCTTGCCTAAAGTGATATTTTTCAAAGGATTCAAAGAATTTTTCAAAGAAATTGAGCAAGCGCTCTTGAAACTTATACGGAATCACAAAAGACCCTGAAGAGTTAAAGCAATTTTGACAGGAAGAAGAGGGATGGAGAAATCAAGCTCCTGGATGCCAGACTACAGCACAAAGCTATAGTAACCCAAACACCTGCGTGGGTTAGAATAAAAACAGACTCGCAAGCCAGTGACAGAGAAGGGAGCCCCCAGTGGAAACCGCACTCATACGGACAGTTAAATGTACCACCAAGGAGCCCGCCGGAACATGCGAGCAAGAAGGAAAGTCTTCAGCAAAAGGTCAGGAAAAGTGACAGCCACGTGTAGAAAATGAGAGGGCACGCTCACCCCACACACACAATGAGCTCCAAATGGCATCACGGCCCCTGGACACAAGACCATAAACGGTAAAATACATGAAGACATAGGAACACGCCCCACGACACGGGCTTCCGGGGTGTCTGTGGGGACTCGACACTAACAGCAAGGAAACAAAAGCGAAAATAAGTGAATACGAAGACTAAGAAAACAGAATGTCGAGAAGCCCCACAGACCATCGGGCTGCCGTCAGTGGGGCGTGCCAGAGGCTGTGGGCGCGATGACGCCAGGTGATGCCAACCCCAGGTCCGCTCACTACCTGAGCCGGCCGTCTGGGCGGCTGAAACACACCCTCAGAGCTGCAAGAGCGCCTGGGGTGACCCCACTCGCTGGCCGTGACGGCGAGGGCTGCGAAGGGTCAGTGTGAGGCGGAAGGATGACCCGGGGCCTCCGAACCCTGAAACACACCAGGATTCGCAAGGCGAGGGGGAAACCAGCAATCCCGACGGGGGAAGATGTCGCCACATCCGGATACACACACGTGACGTGTATGGAGGTACCAGGAGACGGCCTTCCGACGCCAGCAGGCACCGCCCCAGGGGGGAGAGGTGGAGGCCGGCGCGGGCAGGGGATCTGCAGGGAATCACTGATTTTCAGTTTTTACAACCAACTTAGAGAAGAACCGAGTCTGCAGAAGAGAACTTGGATGTAATCAACTTTCATAAAAGCAAAATGAAAGACAAAACTGGCAAAGATGGGCAGCAGCCGCGGGGAAGGAGGGGCGACGCCTCGCCTGCCGGCCGGGCCGACACCCCCCAGCGGATGGGCGGCGAGGAACCCGGAGCCCGACAGGACCGCGCTGGCAGGAGCCTGCTTGGCTCCGGTGAGCCAAGTCTCGGGCTTCCACACAGTCAGGGACAAGCTCTGCTCCAGAGATCAAGGCAGCTACCTGGGGAAGCAGGGTCGGAGGCAAACCTGACCGGAGGGTTAGTGAGTTTCTTCATCATCTCAGTCAGCTCCTCAGTCACATATATTCATGACTGGAAGAAACAATTTCTTACAAAATCCAAGCAACTCTTTCAGAATATTTTAAGCTTCTCAAGGAAGACCAAGTGATCTGGCGGATGGCCACGTTCTACAACCACTATCTACTTTTTATTTGATTCATTCGAACTGAGCATTACGTCCAAACCCCCAGTCTCCAACACCAGAGCTTCTCCTAGGGACACCCGCGTGCTGTCGACAGAACTCGACTCCCAGCGACGGCTGCAGCCCGGCATCTGCGCGTGGGCTGGTCTGACTGGGCCTCGCAGAATGAATAATGGCGCCTGGGCCGGAACAATGAGCCTCTCACGCGGCTCGAAGCTGCGCTCGCCCGTCGTAATTGATGGGGCTGTCTTCTGGCAAACTGAGGAGAGCAGCGAGGCCTAATTGCTGTCACAAGATGTCTCTATCTCCCAGCCTGGCCCTCAGGTGAGCGCTGGCGCTGCCACACCATCTGCAGCTCTGCCAGGGGCCTAGAGGACAGAGCGCAAAGAAAGGGAGCTTTCAAGTCACCAGGTGCCACTATGAATACATTTGCAAAGCAGAGAGCAAACTGACTGTCGTTATACCTGCCAATAAATGTGAAAAACAGTTTCAAAGATGCAGTAAGCTATAATATTAATTGTAAAACCTGTACTTTGTTGCTACAAATGTCCAGCACTACCGGACCCGCCATGGCTCAAGAGGAACTACAGGTGAGATGAAAATTACAGTTAAAAAAAGAGACACTACTGTCAGGAAGAATTCCTGTGATGATTAAAAGCTCACAGTGCACCCGAGACTGGGGAAAGGAGCCTGACTCCGTAAGGAAGCCCAGACTCCAGGGAGGAGGTGGCGTTAGGCTGTCCTGCCCCAGCCCCGACGGCTGTGAAATCCACTGTCGCTGGTGATGGACAGTCCAGGCCGGGGAGGTGCAGGGCTGGCCGCCCCCGCGAAATGAGGGCGGCGCAGGGAGACCCGACCCGACGCCTTCTAACCCCACAAGCACGAGCGGCGGGCAGGCACCCCGAACCCTGAGAGCGCAGGGGCTGACGCCCAGGAGCCCCGGGAGCATGCACGCTACGGAGAACCCTGGCCTCGGTCCCTCTCTGTTCAAGAAATCGTGCTGAGTGAACTGCGTCCGGTTCCAGGCTTAGCCTAGATGTGTCTGGAACTCCTGTGGACCAGAAGGTAGGGAAGCCCAGGGACAGCCATGCTCCCGTAGGCCATGCCAGGAACTTGGTTCTCGGGCAGCTGCACCTGTTTCTAGGCCGCCCCTGGTGACCTGGGCCTGCCGGCTGAGAGAGGCCTTCTCTCGCACCTCCAGGGCGTGGCTCCCCACTTCCGTACAATTCCTGTCTTATACGGAAATAAATGCAAATGGTGCTACAAAAACTAGTATCTGATTTTTGACCTTAACTCACTTCACAGTGTCAGGCAGACCGATGAGCTAAACAGAGGCTTCGTGCCATCCCTGCGTTATCGCAAAGGAGGGAGCACTGTCTTCCCCGCGGACCGGGCTGAGACGACGTTAAAAAATACGGTCCCTGCAACATACATTCCACTGAGGAAGATTAAGTGCTTAGAAATGCGGCAAGGTAGTAAAGGGACATGGAAAAGAACCTCACTTGATAATACAGACACTACATGGTAGCGTCTATCAGAGACGAGGAAGACTAACATGGACTAAAGTGGTTGGGGAAAATAATTTCTAATAAATACCTGTTCCAGAAAAGAGAGGAGGCCTTGTACAAGGAAAACTATAACACAACCACAAATGTACAGTAGGGCTTAGAGGAAGAAAAACAAAGATGAACACACTAGGATCAGACGCAAGCTAAAAAACGGTAAGCCGAGAGCATCGCAAGCAAACGGCGGACACTGAGCCTTCTGCGCTCGACGGCCACAGAGACACAGCGCGTCACAAACTCGCCCTACAGGCAACGGTTTCCACGCGGAGCCTCACACACCGAGAGCAGTGCAGGCCCTGGGGTGGGTGTGGAGGGCAGGGGGCGCAGGGGGCGCTAAAGCCCAGGGCCGGGAAGTACCTACCGGGCAGCGAGACAAAGCGCAAGGCCATACCTGACCTGTCTCCACAGCGTCAAGCACCTGCCTCGGTGAAAACTAAATATCTGCAGATCGCTCTAGACCTGGCGCGAGCTCCAGCCACGTCTGCAATACTGAGACGGGCGTGAGCGCCAAGCCGTCCGAGCGCCTTCCTCGCCTGACCAAGGGCGGTTTCCTTCTCAAATACCGGAGAGGGAGCTGCTTTCTGGCTGCAATAAGTGAGCAAAGGCCACAACTGGTGGGAGTTTCCAGAAAAACCCATCAGCGACAGCGAAGGGCTGTCTTCTCCCTTAGGACCGCTGCTTCTCCCCTGAATATTTTTAGGACTGGAGCGCCAATCCTAGGTTGCCAGCCAGTGACACTGCAAAGGAAAGACACGTACGACGCACAAACATAATAATGACCAAAAAGGCAGTTTATGAAAGGGTGCGAGGAAGCGTCTGCGTGAGACTGTCCTTATTTTTCTAATTTTGAGATTAGCAACCGTTTCATCCTCATACTTATGGGAATAAGATCGTTCTCAAACTTTCTTGCTATTAGCCAACTTAGGCAAAGTGGAAAACTTCTAAAACTCACCTAAACCACTATTTTCAACTTTTTACTAGAAAACTCCACGACAAAGAACTGGAGAGTCACAAGCTGGCAAGCGCTGTTAACATGCCACGCAACAGAAGAACAGCCTGCTCCCTCGGAAGAGAAAAATCCCGAGTTCCACAGGTGGCTCTCTAGCGCAGTGTCCCAAAGGCTTTAACAGAAGCCAGAAGTCTTACGACTCCTCCCGTTATACTTATTTCAATAATAAATAATTCCACTGCCAGCCCACCAAGCACACAGCCGAGTTAAGCGTCACCATGAGAGCGGAAATGGTGTCCCTTTGAGCCCAAACCAGCACTGGCTAGCGCGCCGAGCCCTGCAGGACTCACGAGTGTTCACCCTGACGCTCCCTTTCAGTCGTGTCTCCGCACAGACGGTTGAAGTAGCAGCCAAGATCAAAACGGAGGTCGGGGAAGCTGACAAGTGGCCTGGGACTTCCGAGAACTGGCAGAGTTAGCCCCCCTTTGTCAGGTTTGGAGCACTGAGCTGGTTCAAAGGGATCGGCTGGTGCCAGCCGCCGCGATTCCTGCCCCTGGCATCACCCGGGACCCCACCCCGCATGGCCACGGAACTTACAAAGCAACCAGATCCCGAGGGCTCCACAGTGTGGTGAGTGCATGGCCCAGAGGACCCACGGCGGAGACACAGTCAGCTGCAGCCAGGGCGCTCCCGCGCCCTCAAGCCACCTTCAGCAGGCGACCATAAGGCAGCTCCATGAACTACTTACCGACTTGATCTGCATAACTTAAAAATCAAATAATCTTTGGCCCTCCCTGGGGGCGCAGCAGGTTAAAGCACAGCACTAAGAAGCTAAAGCCGCTTCCGCATGAGCTCGATTCCCGCCTGCCCCGGAGGTGACCACATGGCGCGGCAGACCTCTCCTGACCCGCCCGCTGCTCCCCTCAGCAGTGTACTTCCTCGATCTGCCTGTTCTGCTCCCCGCTCTGTCCCTGGTGAATCCTCTCACCCTCCGCATCTCTGGCCTGTACTCCAATTCTGTAGGAATAAATAAATCTTTAAAAAAAATCAAATAATCCAGTAGAAGCCAAGATCAAGGAGGACCCTAACGGCACATCAGCCCCCCAGAGAAAAATATTAATGACAGTGCAGATGTAACTCTAAAACCACGGATTTGCTACCATTAAATGACACGGACAACTCAGTGAGCAGGTAACAGAGAGCGCAGAGCAAAGGCCTGTGGGCTGGCAAACTCGTTCCTGATCCACACGGGGGTGATACCGGCTCGCGCAGATACTTGTTATGCTCTGAGAGTCTAGCACAGAGGAAACTCGCATCGGCCCTTACTACCCGTAGCTGCATTTACAACTATCCCAACACTACAGAAAAGAATTTGTAAGTCTGATAGAGCATAAGAAAGTTTCTACATTCCCTTTCAAGAGATCCTTTCATCTTGTACCAAGTTTCATCATCAGTGAAATCACGCTGACATTTCACCATCAGTTAACCGCAAGTCTCGCGTTTCTAGCAGGTTAAAAACGGTGCATAGCCACTCACCTGCCAAGTATAATCCTTTATAATTTCCGAAGGCATTGGAATTACAAGGAGATTCTGAAGAATAAACGCAGCCTGGAATGTGAAAAGAAGGTCAATACTGCCACCTTGCTGTCGCCTGTGAAATCACACTTTCATAACAAAAAGCACATCAGTGATCCGCGCCACCGGGCGGGGTTCTGCGTGGGAACCTTTTGTAAGGAATTGGCATAGCAGCGGCGAAATGCCGTCAGTGGGAAGTACACACTGTCCTATCTCAGAATTCTGGTTTTCAAAAAAAGATCTAAAACATAGAGCAGCTATGGAGGCATTAAGAACTACATCTTGTTTCTATCATCCCCGCACAGACAGATTCCAGGCCCGACCCCCCTGCCCCCCGCCCCCACCCCAGCGCTCTCTCCTCCTACCCTACAGACTCCTCCAGACACAAACTGCAAATGTCCCGCTTCGCTTCCTAGGAGGTGAAGGTGACGGAGCCCGCCGTTCTGACAGGAACCCTGACCATTCAGTGCAAGATGATGATGCAGCGGGGAACAGGGGTGGCGCAGGGATCTGAGGAGTGAAGTGTCAGCTGCACCTTCACAGAAGTCAACGGGTCCTCCCTGACGCGGGTGGGTCAAGAGGCCATCCGAAAGGAAATGACCAGGAAGCACAGCCTTCGGAGGGGCTGGAAACCGGCCAGTGCAGGCGCCGAGCGCTGAGTTTCTTCACAACCCCGAAAGGCTAGTGGGTTACTGTTTTTTAAGCGATTTGCTTCCACCACCACTTTGGTTAAAAGCAGCAATGAAAGAAAACCACAAACTACTTTGAAAGAATTAAAATAGGGGTTACAGCTTCTCTTATGTATTATATGAGAAATCTTTTAGTATTTTGACAGCCCTTTCCTTAATAAACTTTCAGAAGTATTAGGAGTCCATCAATGCTGGGGTAACATACACATAATTTTTATGTGATCTGCTTGTCAATGAGTTTAAAAAGAAAAAAGAAGACGGGCATGTCAAAATACACTGACTTCTACTTTGATCTCACTAGAACAGAACGCTTCCATTTTCACAGGGGTTGCAAACATTTTTTTTGCTCTCCGCTGCCAGTTCCTGCGGGCTGTTTGCAGGCAGAAGAGACAGTGGGGAGCAGTCAGAGGGCGTGGCTCGCAGGGCTGGCTGGGAGAAATGTGGGGCCACAGCACCCCTCCCGGCGCCCCCCCCCCCACTTCACGGGCGTACCCACCGACCTCGCGGCGCACCAGGCTGCACTCGGACTGGTCCAGGAGGATGTTCACCACGGTGCCCCACAGCCCTCCGGAAATGTTTTGACAACTATTTGCCAAAACCATACAGCCGCTTTCCAGAGTGGTGAGTGCCGACCCCAACCCCAGGGAAGTAAATCTCACCTGTGCCAACGAAGAACACACTGTCACATCAAAGACACTGGTTTCACAACAAGAATTCTTAATTTCTCTGGTATATAAAACTCATAATATTATGACACGCTCAACTCTGCTGTTATAAAAGACGCTTGCAGGAAAGCGCTCTAGGACCTTATAAAAAGCCTATGACTCCGTGACTCAAAAAAGTGTAATGGAGAAATGTTAAATGCAAGACAGCGTCACCAAAAAATCAAAGTTGGATCTATGGAGGAATAAAAATTAGAGTTCACGAGTTTTTCCCCAGGGAACGCACAGAATATGCACATACTTTTTATGGACACACACCCTAGTTAGTCCTCATTTGGACGGAGACAGCTACGGTCTTGTTTTCCCATAATTTTTTAAATGTAGTTTGCCAGTAAATGGTTTTAACTTTTGAAAACTTCTTTCTACAATCACTTATATTAAAAAATTACTTTTAAAAGGCATTTACCATTTTCCCTGAAATGACTTTAAAATGAAAGCCTTTCAGGCAAGACCGCCGTGTCTGTCGCTGTCCCGGAGACCCCGGACGACGGAGCGTCGCCGCGGGGTCCAGGCAGCAGCCCAGCAGGTGGGATGCGCCCCGGCCGGGTGGCGGAAGGCGGCGGCGAGTCAGCCCAGACTCCGCTTCCTGGGCCGGGGCTCATCCCAGGGCGGGGCCAGCCCTGGCCGGACGGGCGGCCACCACCCCGGCCGCGAAGCCGTCCTGCGTCACACAGCGAGAACCGCTGAGGCTCTGCGGAGCAGTCGGATCACAGCAGCACACAGCAGGGAGGCAGCAGGCGGGAGCCCGTGGAGGGCAAGACGCTGAGGAGCCGTCTGCTCCCCCAGCTCCCCACGGGCAGGGGTGCCCGGATCTGTGCGTGGCAACAAGCGCCACCTCCCCGTCAGTCACCCTTGACAGAGTTCTCGAGAGCAGGTTAGTAGACAAAAGATTAAAACTGCAAAATTCATTCATATGAGGCTTTGCTGTGGGACGGATCTGTCCGACTACATGTCACTCCCTGTCACCTTCAGAGCCGTCTGAAAACGCCAGGCTCCTCCAACAATTCTTTCTCATTCTTCCTAAAAGCAGAGGGTCCCACGGGCTTCCTTTTCCCTCTGTTCAAACTGGCTTCTAACGAGCCGACTGAGCGAGGGCATCCTGAGCGTGGCTGTTGCTGGACACCTGCCCGTCGAGGCCGGCCCACCACGAGGAGCGAGGGCATATGGGGCCCTGACCCCACGGCGGGGTGGTCTCCCAGAGGAGGGAGAGCGGGAAAGCCGCAGGGGGGCCCCGGAAGCCCGAGGCCCCACCAAAGCCACCTCCTGCCACTTCCACCCGACTCCCGCCCAGCACTGCCGGCGCAGGCCACTCTGTGACAGCAGCCCGAGCTGACCAGGGCAGAGGGGACCCAGGCTCAAGGCTCAGTGGCCGAGACAACCTCTCGTCGCGGAGCTGGCACACTCTCGCATCCAGACACGGAGGACTCCGCCTCCCCTCGTGCCCCGCACTGACCTCTGGGTCTCGGTCCACCCACAACGGGATCAGCCAGGTCAGTCCCTGCTGAGACGGTGCCCGCTCGTCCCCCGGGCCGCCCAGAGGCAGGAACCACAGTGACATCCACGCCTGGAGGGAAAGGGGCAGAGACACGCCAGCGGGCGTCTGAGGACAGCAGCTCCCAATCACTCGGAACGCAAAAAAAGTCAAAAGCGATGTAAAAGAGTGCTTAGGCCTCGATTTTAGTTCATTACTGAGCCAAAACAAGCCAGATGAAACCTCGGCTTCCCCTTAAGAAGTCGTGTCCCCCACAGCTTAGCTAATCAGAGTTCTTGGCGCAGGCAGCTCTCAGTCAGGGTAACGGTCCAGCCGTCAGGTGTGTGCGACCCACAACCCCGAAGGAGCAGCTCAGCAAAAAGCCCCTCTGTCTCCTAAGAGCGACAGGGCAGAGACACTCCCATCGCAAGCGCGAGGCCTGAAATGCGTGAGACCCGGAACATTCCTTCCCCGCAAGCTCTGCCCAGGCAGGCGGGGCACGCCGCCCTTACCGAGCTCTGGGCCTGGGCCAGCATCTCGTGCGACAAGTGCAGCAGGCAAAGGACGGTGCTCTTCGTGACCCCTTTGCCCATGAACGACGTGGCGTTCCCGCCACGCTCCACATAGAAGGAAGTGATGACCTGGAAAACAAGCGTGGCTAGCAGCGGCCGGCGGCGGCGTGACCCTCGACGCGCCCCCGCGGGACCCGACCCGCAGAGGGGGCTCAGCTCACGCACTGAAACGGTCGAAGTGGAAAGTGTTGTGTCGTGTGCGTTGTACCGCGATGAGACACAGGATAGTCTCCATTACATCTGCCCCCTTGGTATGAATAACGCGTAGTGTCCTTCCAGGGGACGTGTGTGACCCAGCCCGTGGTCAGAACTCTTTTGAAGTGGGTTTCTAAACGGCTTGCTGAAAAGAATGGGCTAGCCTATGAGAACAAGCAGGCCGATCTGACATTTTTCCGAATTACAAACTTAAAACTTTAAGGGACAATCTTAGAACTAAGACGCTCGAACGGCCACATCCCTGTTACCTCCCCCCAGCCAGTGGAGACAGCGTGTCCCACTGCCAGTGGTGGTCCCACTGGCAGCGTAGGAGGGCCACGCCGAGACCTGCCGGTCAGGTGGCTGCAATGGCATGCATCCGGCTGGAGCTTTCACTGCCATAGTCTATCTACCTATCGCGATGAATCACCAGGGGTGTGTGTAAGTCTCACTCTCACCCATGGAAAGCAAATACGTGCAGTCAAACTCCACTGTGCATGCAAGTATCTGATCCTGAAATGTGGCTCCCTTTTAAGAGCAATGAAGACTCCACTGGCAAATGTTAGCTAAAGGTATTTCTGTTTCTGAATGTTCTGCCTCTGCGTTGTGATTCACATGTAAAAAGACTAAATAAGCAAATAATCAAAACATTGTAATGAAGGGACTTAAATACAGACTCAGTATTTGTTCTTGACAATCAGTACGTTCAGAAGAGCTGTTACACATTTGCTGATAAAAAATAATGAAAACATTTAACTAACGATGACTCATATAAACACTGTTAAAATCTCCATAACCTATATGATGCACTTGCCTTAGGGCCTGGCACACAGTCAGAAAACAAATCAAAAAGAGTAACCAGCTATCACTTGGGGTTGGCAATGATTGCTGCTGTGATCGTTGGCTTTTACTTACTTCGAGAAGACCTGACAAGTACTTGGTACAAATTTCGAGTGGCTTTGTGAGCGGAGAGTGCGTGCTCCAGCCCGGAGTGGCCGTGAGGTGGACCATGCCCCTCAAGGTCCTCTCCAGAGAGGGCAGCCCATAGAAGTGGGGCGCATCTGTGACCCTCAGGCACTGTAGCAGCCTCAGGGCCAGCTGCGTTTGGAAAACGTAGAGGAGTTCCATGCACTTCCTGTGTAAGCAGAGGAGAGGAAAGTCATCCACAGAACAAGTGACGGGTGGAAGTGCTTTCTTATTGGTGGGAGAGGCTCCCCAGCGATTCACTGTTTCAGAAAAGTAGGAGCAGGGAAATGGTGAAGAGGATCCAGCTTGAAACAAGATGTCTCCAGGAAAACACAGCTCAACTCCCACCTGGGGGGTAGGGTGTCAAATGCCAGGAATAATGACATTGGAAAGTAAGAATCAGTGTTGTGGTGTGGTAACAAAACAAAAAGTAGGAAAGAAAAATTAAGTGCATACTTCAAGGGAGCTTGATGAGCTTGCGCTTTTAACCACCCAGCAGCCCCTGCTGACCGACAGCCTTGCTGCTCGTTTCACAAAGAGAAATGAAATGCTCTGAAGCAAACTCCCTCAACATCCTTCTCCCACAGCTAAACACTTATTTACTCCCTTGCCCATATTCCTTCAACCCACACTCTTCCACACACTGCTCACTCAGCTGTCTCTCCTCAGTGTGCCTTGCCCTCCCCTCACCTTCCTACACTCTTCTTACATCCTTCTCTACTTGCCTCCCTCCCTCTTCTCTAGCCACACTCCGTGTCTTTTTCTTCTCACCCTTAGCATCCCTTAAAACGGACCCCTGTGCAAAACCTGTAAGCATGCTTAAGTCGCTCCCAACCAAAACAAAAAAAAATTCTGACCTGCTCGCAACCAACACACCTAGGTGATGTCACACTCACTCCCTTCTACAACAGCAGAACTCAGTAGAGAACCACACCGTTGCTTCTCCAAGTCTAGCCAAGGTGCATGCGTGGCGCTCTGTGTAGGACCGCTGTGTCTGCAGCTTCCTCAGCTGCTGATGCTAGTACTTGAGAAGCTGCCAAGGAGGTTCTTACTCAGCTGCCAGGCCCGGCTGCAGACCTACCCTCGGATTCGTTGTTGTTTTCAGCATGATGTTGAGATAAGGCTTGTGTGTGACACAGTCCACCACTGAGGTGCACACTCCTCACGGTTCGCACGTATGTAAACATGCTCCTGCCACCAATCAGATCAGTCTGCGCCTCACAGAGCTCCTGGCTGTCCCTCTGCAGTGAATCTCTACTCACTTGTTTTCCAGATTCACTGATCTTCTCTTCTACCATGTCTAGTCGGCTGTTAAGCCCATATGCTGAGTTGTTCACTTTAGAAACTGTATTTCTCAGTTGTAGAATTTGTACTTAAGTGCGTTTAGTAGTATCCATTTCTCTGCTAGAATATTGGGTTGTGAAAAAGTCATGTTGCAATTTTTCTATGTTTTTTCAAAGAAAAAATAAATGATGACTTTCCCCAACACCCAGTACTATTCCTATTCTTATCAATGTTGCCCATCTCTTCAACTAATACCTACTGTACTTATTATTTAAAATAGTATTATATTATTATAATGGTAGCTCTAAAGTGTTTGTCATATGTGACATCTGTTTCTGGTAACATTTTTCTCTTAACAATGGGAGACATTTTGTAGCTAACAGTGTTCTTCATTTGTGATTTTATATCAATTGTTTTTGTATAAAAGAGCTATTAAGAGTGAAACAGATAATGATTTCTCACAGAAATAGCTCGCCCATTCATCCCATGATCTGCGTTAGGGCTGATCTCTGGGATTTAACCATGTTTTAAACAACATCGTGAAAAGAACGGAACCACCGCAGTCTATACTTTCAGAAGATTAGAGTGGATTTTTAAATATTTCTAAAGTCATATCTAAAGGTACACATATAAAACCCACCGGTGGGAATGGATGTGGGACTGACGGAGCACGCAGCTACTGGGCAAGCAGTGGCAGTGTGGCGGTTAGGAGAGGACCGGGAGCCAGAGCAGGGGACACAGGCACGTCCGTGCTGCAGACACACCGCCCCGCTGCCCACCCATCCTTCTCAGAAGGTGAAACAAGAGAAAAGCAAAATTCTTCGGAACCCAAAAGCAACCCAGGCGCCCCGCGCAGGCCCCCACCTCTCAAGACCCGGTACCTGTCAGCCACGGCCCCGCAGCCCAGCAGCAGGGTGCTGAAGAGCCCCATCAGCTCCTTCTGCAGCTGCTGCCTGACCGCAGTCCCTACGTCGTCGGCTTCTCCCCGTGCCTGGGACTCTGTTGGAACCAGAAGGTCTAAAAGTGGGTTTGGACTCTAAAAAATAAGAATTGTAAAAAACAGTTACTCTCCGGCTGGCCTACATGCTGTTCCTTTACAAGATTTTTTTCCTTGCTAACCACATTCTGGATTACCTGAGCTAGATTGCATTGCGGGTCTCTAGGCAATAGCAGGTTGTTCTAAACTCCAGAGGTGCTTCATGTTATCTCAACAAAAGGAAAGCACATCTATTATAGGAAACCGGGGAGCACACAGAGAAGCACAGGAAGAAAAACAAAAATCAGCCAGAGTCACACCTACAGTGAGACACCATGGACGCCTGGCTCGAAACTTTGTGCGTCACGCGAGCAGAGGTAAGCCCCATCCTAGGAGCAAAGTTGGGATCAAGGGTGCAGTCCACGGTTACAAACATTTGCTGTTTAATGCTAGCATCACCGTTGCTTCAGAAGTATTGTTTTAATGCGAATGGTCCTCAACCATGAGTATTTCTCACACAACTCATCAGTGATGTCTGACTTCACTGAGCTGCAGCGGTGTGTTTGACTCTGAGGATTCTAGACAACAGTCATTAAGCCAGACAGCCTAAGAGTTTTCATGCCTTTGATGTAGATTCCAAACTGTCCCCGCAGAAGGACATGGACGCACCCGACTGGGTGGGACGCCAGGAGGCCGTGGCCCCAAGTCGAGGCGAGTGTTGCTGCCGCTGCAGTCTGCCAAACTGACAGCTGTGAGCAGCACTAGTGCCCTTTAAACAGTTAAAAGGAAATATTAAATGTAGCTAAAAATATAGAATTGTTTCTAGTGATATTGAGAATGTAGAAAATGCCGCATTAACCGCATTAAAGATAAATGGAATATTTATTAACTACCAGTAATGTCACAGACACTGTGCTAAAAAGAAGGAAAACAAGATCTCCTAACTTTGTGAGTAAGCTGGAAGATGTGCATGTTCGTATTTTACTTAACCGAAGGGCGGTTAAGTAGCAGGTCCAAAGTCATTCACATGAGCTGAGCCAAGGAGCAACCTCAGAACATCTTCGAGGTTTATCAACACCTGTCCCCAGCATTCTGCTCATATCAATAGAACATATATGACAACACGTAGAAAGAAACAAAACCAAAATGTAATCACCGTTGCTTTGAAATCCTCAGCCTAAAGGACTCAATTCCGAAGGGGTGTGCAACTGAGAACAAGACACCCCCTCCCGGCCCCCCATCCTCAGGGAGGGGGACAGCAAACGGACCACGTTCCCCATACACAGCAACGCCCCAATCCATCACCTCGGTCTTTGAAATCTGCATGAACTATGAAAACTTCTCTCAACGGAAGCTTCTAGCTTGCGCTGGACGCCACTGCTGTTCGAGAACTGTCTCTCTCCGTGAGCTCTGGGGTGTTTTAACGCATCGCAGAGCGTGCTCGCTCTAGAAGACCCACGGCTGTCTGAGTCAGATTCAGCCTTCTTTCCTAGTTGTCACGTGGTTGTGGTTATCTGCGCACCAGTTTGCCTTTGCCAGGCTGGTGCACCACGTGGTGCTGGCCGGCGAGGCCAGCAGGCGGCCGAGAAGCAGCCTCGAGAGTGCTCAGCAAGCTTCTCAGAACACGCCCAGTACTCCTGGGCGCACACCGAAGCCTGAGCAGCCGCTCGCTCCCCCACCCGGACCGTCTCCCCACCAGCGGCCTCCTGCGCCAAGAGCTCCCCTGAGCACAGCCGCAGTCGGGCCCGCAGAGACGCTGAGGCTGCAGGTCGCGCTCGGTCCAGCCTGAGCCGGAGCCCCAGCGGTCACCACAGGAGCTGCGTCTCTGAGGCCTCCGGACGCTCAGCGCAGGCCACCCGCACGCGTCCCGCTTTTCCATAGCACAGCTTGAGTGATTTTCAGAAGTCAGTCACTTGTCAAAGTTAAAATCCAAATAACTTAAACTTACTTGTCTAAGAAGTAATTCCAGAAGCCAGTTTAGGAGTTCTGGTGATGAATTTCTTCTCCGGTCCTTCAACAACTTATTTAAAAAATGTACAATGTCTATGAGCAGCTTCTCATCTTCCGTGCAAGCAGGAAGCACTTGTAAAAACCTACATTTGAGCAGACAACAATGGTTTCTAGCTTTTTGTATAATCATCACCTATTTTTTCATAAGTTAGCTAACTGCAAGTTTATATAATTTTAATTTTTAAGTATGGTTTTAACAACCAAATCTCCAAAATCCCAATAATGTAACCCTGGCACCCTCATGGGGAAGTCCTGGCTGCTTCCTACAAGCGCCCCAATTGCAGGAACCCACCTCTGGCAGGGGCTTGCGCTTCTGAAACTCCTCCAACCCTGCATTTCCCTCAGCCAAGTTACACGTTACATTATTACACTTGCAGCTAGAGCCTCCCCAGTAACTACTTAGGGACCTCCGAGTGGCAACCCCTGCGTAAAATTCCAAACAAAAAGAAACGGATGTCTAATTTTCTTAAGAACAAAAACAACACGAAACAGCTCACTGCAGGTGCACCAGCCTATTAACCCATCCGCGGGGTCTCGACGCACCTCTAACAGCGGCAGGTGCTCATCACCTCTTGTCCTAGCCACCTGCTTCTGTGATGTGACGCAATAAGATGTCCCACACTAGGCAGTCCTAAAAGTGGGTGTATGCCTATAAATCATTCCCCCCAAAATGCCGTGACATTAACTTTTTTCTTTGTTGTTATTACTACAGACAATGCAAATCCTGAGGCCTTCCTTTCCATAACTTTCTCTCTTGCCAGTGGCAGCGGAGGGCGTGCTCCAGCCGTAAAAGGCCGGGCGAGGAGCCGCAGACCCAGGCCCCTGAGACGGGGGCGCGAGCGCGTGCTGACCTGCCGAGGGCCGTGTGCCACGCCAGAGACTCCACGGGCGCCCCGTACGGGCCGGCGCCACCCTGGGCAGACAGCCTGTTGTCCAGCAGATAGAAGTTCATCCTGGTGACCGCAGCCCGCACGTCCCTGTGGGCCGCGGCCTGGATAATGTCGCGGAGACAGTCCCCCAGCCCAGTGGCCGTGTGTGTGACCTTCAGAGCCAGCACATCCTCTGCGGACAACTTGAGGGTGTCAAGAAATCTAAACATGGAGGAAAAAAAGAACAACTGAAAGTCATGCAACGAAAGCCCACATTTATTTTATTATAAACTCTGTCCCCAAAATCCTTTTACCTCATGTTCTTTAAAGACTGAAGCACAGGGGCCTCCCTGGTGGTGCCAGGGGTGAAGGCGCAGCACTAGGGGCTGTCTGCAGCTGCTGAAGCAGCACGAGTTCGATCCCCGGCCAGGGAGTGACCCACAGGGCGCAGCAGACCCCGCCTCTCTCCCCGCTACCCTCTCATCAGCGTATTTCAGTGGGTCTGCCTGTTCTGTTCCCCTCTCTTGTCTCTGCTGAGTCCTCTCAATCTCCGCTGCACCTCTAGCCTGTACCCCTGCTCTTGTGCGTACAAATAAGCAAATAAATACACTGAAGCACAGCTGAAAAAAACAGCAGGCCATCCCCAGTCTACCATGTGTTCACATGGACACTTCCTTGCTTCCAGAAATAGTTTTCTCTCAAAGCAGAAAGCCTGGCAGCTTGGTAGATTGGCATATTGAAGCGGCCTCGCCCGCTGCAGGTGAGGTGAGTGGCACAGCTCTGTGGGAACTGGCACGGAGGCTGTTTCAGACAAGAAAAGCAGGGCCACCAGGTGACCCCGGTGCCCGCCTTCTCCCGGGGACACGAGAACACAGACATGGAAGAGTCTCGCCCCGGCTGCCACGGCAGTGTTGTCCACAACGGCAGTCACGGCATCGACCTGAGTGCCTTTGGGACAAACGGACAGCCCTGGAGGGGGACGCTGGTGACCCGAGTCAGAGGCAAGAGGCAATGACGGTTTCGCTATCTGCAGGGAACATAAATAACCAGGGAACGTGGCAAAGAGCACAGAAAATCACTTAGACCGAAAAAGACAGTGGTTAGCAGAGGGACCGGACGTGGCAGGGAGGCTGGGGGCGGCGAGGGTGGCCAGGGCACAGGGCAGAGCCCGCAGGCACCTGACTCTGCCGCCTCGGGCGCCGGGAGGGCCTGCCACAGCCACACAACCCCGCCGCGCTGACTGCCCTTCAAAGCACTTCCTGGTGGTTTCACCCCTTCAC